TTTTTTTTTTCATTTTTCTTCATAGGTTTTCGAAGGTATATCAGGTCCTTTGGATCATGGTCTTCTAGCATTGAAAGATGAACAATGGAAAAATGCTCGATCTATTGTTTCACCAACATTCTCTACAGCAAAACTCAAAGCAGTAACTATTACTAAACAAAAACGATTTGATTTTATGAATTATTCTCTTTAGATGTATAGTCTTATGAACGAAATTAGTGACACATATTGTGAACGTTTTCTTGAATATGCTGATAAGCAAGAATTAATAGATATGAAAGCGTATATCTATCTCTTGCTTAATATAATTCATTGAAGTTTAATTCTTGTATTTATAATAGATTAAATAGTCTATTTACTCTTGATAATATTGCTTCTTGTCTATTTGGAGTTGAAACAAATTCTTTACAGAATGAAAATGTTACTTTAATTAATTATTTAAAAAAATTTTTCAATCGAGGTCTCTCCAATATAATTCTCATTATATATTGTAAGTATTTTTCAACGAAAATGACCGTTCTTACTTTTTCTTTATTTCTAAAATAGTTATTTCACCGCAATTGGCGATGTATTTTGGAAAGAAAGGTTATTCAATGTTCCCTAAAGATGCTGTTGATTATACAACTAATCTTCTCAATCAAATATTAGCACGACGTCGACAACATTTAGAAAGACGAAATGATTTTATTCAAATGATGATTGATCATGAAGAAGAAGTTAATCATGAAGAGAATCGAACAAATCAACAAACAGATAAAAAAGAACAACAACAACAACAGCAACAATGGGGAACACTTAGAAAAAGTAGGAAGAAAGCGTGTGTTTGTCTGTTAATTTAGTATTTGATTTTAGCTTTGAATGATAAAGAAATACTTAGCCAAGCAGTTGTATTTTTACTTGCTGGTTATGAAACAACAAGTATATTAATGTCATGCTTTTTCTATATCATGGCAACAGAACCAGTCATTCAGGAAAAGGTTTATGAGGAAATTCGACAAGAAATTGGAGATGTACGTTAGATTTTTGTTAGGGAATAATCATGTTTAATAGTGTTATGTAGGATGAAGTTACTCATGAAAAACTCAATCAACTTCAATATTTAGATATGGTTATTAGTGAAACACTTCGTAGATATCCACCAGGTATCAGGTTAGTGTGCGCTGTTAATGTTTCTCTTCGTTGATAATTTTATGTTTTCTACAATAGATTTGATCGTATTGCGGCATGTGATTATCAACTTGGTGATTATCAGATACCAAAAGGTACTATTGTTAATGTATCTGTTTATCCTATTCATCATGATCCTGATGTCTGGCCTGATCCAGAAAAATTCATACCTGAAAGGTAAAATTTCAAACCATTACATATTGTTATGTATATTGATATTGTTTTAATAGATTTTTACCAAGTGAAAAAGCTAAACGTCATCCGATGACATATCTTCCTTTTGGCGATGGGCCTCGGTAAGAAGATAATCTATATTATTGATCTGAAAATTGAATTTTCCTTTTAAAAGGAATTGTATTGGAATGCGATTTGCATTATTAGAAGCTAAACTTGGAATAGTCAAAGCACTTCGTGCTGTAGAATTTCAAAAATGTGAAAAAACAGCAGTAAGTGATGATTTTCTTAGTATTATCATTGTATCATTAATTTGATTTCTAGGTTCCATTACAATTAGGAAAGTTTGAAATCATAAATACCAAAATTGGTGTTTGGCTACGTGTTGTTCGTCGATCACAATGAATCGTATATACATCGCTTGTCGTTTTTCACTATGATTTTCTTTTTCAATTTTTTTATCACAAATCCATTTCATATAAGGAAATAAATTCTGTGGCATATGCTAAAGATTATCAGGGGAAATGCTATTGGATTACTTATACAATCCAATGTAAGTGAGAATGCTTCCTATTCTCAAAAGTTACACATTACTGCACTGCCTTCCAACCATGAATCTCTAATCTACAATTCCGGAAAATGCATAACGATTCTTTTATTACGAATACGAGCCACAACCAGAAATTCCTGCATTGCACTTACTTTACAACCTATAGTACAACACGCAATTCCCAGCCATTCCTGCCTATTCAGGAATTCGAAAGATACAAGAAATCAGGAGAATATAATTTTAAGATGGATGATTCGATTGCAAAGCGGAATTCCGTAATTCGTGCATATCCGGAATCAGTAGGGAATTCAGGAATTCCTGGTCATTCCTATTTTTCCCGGATTTATCACCCACACCCACCCTCAAGATGTGTTTCTATGTATTCACAACATATTCAAATTTGTTTATAATTAATCATCGAATAATATATTTTCGAGTCCCAAAGGTGTTGAAATACAAGTTATGCCTAGTTTGAGTAACTAGATTTCATTGATTGGTAATTTAGCCAATAGAATCGATAATATTGAGAGTTTAATTAAAGGTTTTGTGCATCAGTTATACTTCAAGAATTATTCGATCATGCGATTTCTATGCTTGAGATTTGCTAGAACCATTTATTTATGGTGGTAAACGAATAATTATCAGAAATTCAACATATAATTATACGTCGTATCATATTGTCGATCTTTTATATAGTATGAATAAAGAAAAATTTGCTTCTCTTCCATCATCTAATGTGGATATCTATTGCTTTTTTGGATCAAATATTTCAACCCCTTTTGGCAATATATCTAAAATAGATCCGTTCTATACCTTTATTGGAAGATGATGAGCTAGACAAAACTACAAATATGTCTTTTGACTTATAAAGAAAAACTATAGATCCAGAATATAAACTGGTCGTAAAAGAATTTAAAGGTATGACACATCGGGGAATGGTAGGTAATGGAAATGTACTTGAAACAATGTTATTTTTCTTGAGGGTGTGTAAATATTTTCATCAACTTCTCTTCTACTTTGCAGTGTTACCATATACTCTTTACTAAAGTGTAGTTATAATCTACTCAAATCTCATGTTGATGATTAAACATTTGATCAGTTCCCTAATTATAATGTTTTCATAAAAAAAAAATCACCATTCTTTTTATTTCATACGTTTTCATTATGTTGTATTCGTAACCATTTTTTATAGAATTTATACGAAAGACTTTAATCTTTAATATCCTTTCAAAGATATTACCAGAGTCACATACCTAAAGTATATGTTTTAAATCATGGATTTTGTTATTTATTTGCGAATTGATAAAAAAAATGCAATCACCAATATTTAGCTCATATGCAAAGATTGTGATCATGCATATTTCTTGTCTATAAAATTTCAAATAAATTCACTAGTAGCAATAATATATATCAACTTCAGATTTTATATTGATCATATCATTTTAAAATTTGTTCTGTGACACAGACATTCTTGAAAACAAATCTTTACTTTTTTTATTTTTCAGCGATAAAAGCTTTATAATACTCTTATTATACTATGATAAAATTTCTAAGTCATGTCGTAAATCAATATTAAAGATAATGTAAAGTTTAAAAGCAAAGAAGAACAGAAGAGGAAAAAAAGTTTTGTTCGTAGCTATAAAATAATTTATCTTATATTTCAATATATTTTTCGTTTGTTAAGATTTACTGAATTGTTTTAGGATTGAAAGCTTCGTTCGAAGCCGATAAAGTAATTATAAATGGATATTTGTCATAGTCGGATCTAACAAAAGGTACAATCTGGTTACAAGTACTATTATTATTTCGTTTTCTTCAAATCATTTATAAGTTACAATTAAACGTACTTTAGAATTACGTCAACATCCTCAATTTATTTGCTTTCTCTTAATCGATAAGTTTATTTGAAGTGTACGACTGTTATTAAGGTATTACAGATGGACAAAAGAAATCCACCACCATCCATGAAATCTATTGTTGATGCCGAAACAAATCCTTTTGTCGTTGGTAGCAAAGCAACATTAACACCATTCTCCGACAGAAGAGCAGCTTTAAGACATGTCGAAAATGAAACGACACAAACATTATCGAACAATTTAAGTACATCTTACCGAACCAATAGTTTTGCCCATAAAAGTATATTGAAGTTTCCGCCGATCTCTTCTGAAAAAAAATACACAGAGTCACGGACAGAGAAAATGAAAAAATCATCATACACTCAATCCAATAGAAATGTCCAAGCTAACAATCATATTTCGCTGCCAATTTATTCTCCAAATGTGGCAAGAAAAGTGTCATTCGCCGAACAAAGTACATCTCTCTCGATAAATACTATTGCGGCTGATGAACAAATCGAGCAAATATTAGATCCATTGGAAAGTGTAATTAATACAACTTCAAATAGCGAGCATTCTACATTTCCATTACAGATTCCATTTATGTGTGATTTTAGAATTATTTGGTTAGATTCGAATTATACTAAGTTTAATGCAGATTTTAAACATATGATTGATCAACTTCGACCTATTATTGATGTCATTAATCCATTTACGGATCCTGAAATATGCAAGGATTTTATCAAGAAGAGAACAGATGAAACAATCTTCTTAATTGTGTCGAATGATATAGAACAATCGATAATATGTGACATTCATCAAATACCTCAGATCCATTGTATCTTTATATTCTGTCAAAATAAACCAAAGAAGACACGTTGGATAAAAAATTGGACAAAGATAATCGGTTTTTTCAAGTGTATTAACGAGATTTATGAAAAAATCAAAAAAGAAACTCAACGATATCGTCGTGATTCCATAGCCATTAGTATTGCAAGTGTAGATTTAAATCGTTTCGATTCATCATTTATGTATACATTGATTCTTAAAGAAATACTTTCTGAAATGACCTACGATGTTACAGCTAAGAAACAATTGACTCAATTCTATCGAGAATATTATTATAATGACCCATGGGTACAGAAAGACATTGACAAATTTAACCGACATTATAAGTCACATACACCAATCTGGTGGTACACTGGGTTCCCATTTATCTACGAAATTCTTAATGAAGCACTTCGATTACAAAAGACGGAGATCATCATTAAAATGGGCTTCTTTATAAAAGATCTTCACAATCAAATTGAACAGTTATATACGCCAGCGACTAAAAAAATTATCGTTTATCGAGGTCAAAGACTGTCGTATGCACATTTTAATCAATTACGCACATTAGAGGGTGGTCTATATTTCTTCAATTGTTTCTTGTCGACAACTAGCGATCGACAATTGGCTCTTGCGCGAGCTGAAAGTTCCCTCTCCACTGAAGGTTCCAGACAGATAGGTATTCTTTTTCAAATAACTCTAGATCCAACTGTTGGTACTGCAGCTCCATTCGCTTCAGTAAATAATGAAGGTTACTATTCTGACAAAGAACAAGAAATTTTGTTTTCAACACACACAGTATTTCGTATTGATGAACTGAAATCAATTACTGATTACTTGTGGCAAGTAAACCTTTCATTGGTTAATGACGACGACGATGATTTGATGAAAAGTATTGAATACATGCGAAATATGACACAAGGAACAACTGGATGGGATAGACTCGGTAAGTTGTTATTGAAAATGGATAAATTTAAGGAAGCTAAAGAAGTCTTAGAAGTGTTGAATGACAATTCAAATGATAACGATTTGGAGAGACTTGGTCATCGTTACCATTTAATGGGTCAAGCAGAAAATAGTCAACACAATTATAAGCAAGCACTCTTCTTCTACGAAAAAGCTTCACAAATTTATCAAACTTATTCCAGTGCTACTCATTTAGATATGGCTGTAATTTATAATGATATCGGTTCAGTATATAAAAATACTGAACAATACATAGAAGCACTAAAGTATTTTCAAAAGGCACTTGTTGATCAAGACAAATCTAATCCTTTAACTTACTCAAATTTGGTCCTTATCTATAGTAACATGGCTGAAGTATACAAGATAATGGAACAATATTCAGATGCTTTAAACATTCTTGAAAAACTTTCGGCTAGCTATAAACGATCATCAGTTCTTTATGATTATCCAACTATGTCTATTATTTATATTAGTAAGGCTGAAGTATATTTTGATATGGGAGCTTATTCGGAAGCATTGAAATTATTTCGAAAAGTATCTAATATGTATAAATATTGTCATTTACAAAGTTGTGTAGATATAGCTAATGTTTATAATCGTATTGGTGAAATCTATCAAAGATTGAACGAGCATCCCATGGCATTCGCATACTATGAACGATCACTTCAAAATTATTACATTGAATTGCATATTTTGTCCAAAAAATTACCAGTAAATGAATCAAGTTTAGCTATACTCTATAGTAAAATAGCTCATGTACATACAAATATGAGCAATTATTCAATGGCACTTACACTATATAAAAAAACACTTGAAATCTTAGAAAGATCTTCCGAATTAAAACAACCAGACTTAGCATCGACACACGTAAATATTGGTCACATATATAAAAATATGGGTAAACATGACAAAGCACTTATATCATACAGACAAGCTATGAAAATTGCACGACAATCATTGCCTGATAATCATCGTCAGTATTTAATATATCAAAAATACGTTACAGAATTCCAACGAACGTTTCAATGAACTTTTAATTTTACTTTATTTTTAAGCCTAGGTAGAGTATTCATTAGATCCATCCACATTCACACCATTTCATTATTATAGTATTTGATTTCTGATTGATAGAGCTTTTAGAAAAAATTAATAAATAATTTCATTTTTCATTTATTATGTTAAACAAAAAGAAAATATTTCGATAAAAAAACAACAGAAAAAAGAATCATATTGTTAATGAGCAGTTATTCCTATTTGATCTGTTCGCTTGTTTGTCGTATTTTTTGTAGGTAAAGGTACTGGAACAATAACTTGTCTTTGTCGTTGACAGAACAAAATTTTCTTTAGTTTTTTTCCAAGTTCAGGCATTGATGCACAACAAACAAATGGAAAAAGAAACATAATATAATTTGCAAAGAATGCACTATGATAGTATAAAACTAGTATGTCATTTGTTGCCAAACCGAGAAATCTACAGAATTGAAATATTGTTCGTGGACCCATAAATATAAAGTAAAGAGTCGATGCTGATAATAATTGTATTGTCATTTTTCGTTGTTTTCGCCATTCAATTGATCGATTCATACGAGATTTTTGCCATATAACACGTAGAAAAAGAGCAACATTCAAAATAATTATAAGAGATACCGGAAGAAATTGATGGCTAATTGTATTATATTTGTAAAAAAATGGATTAGCTAATACGCAAGACATAGGAACACCATTGAACGGTGATTGAATAATAACTTCTTGGCAAAATGGAAATACAATAATTACCAAATAATAGATAAACGAATAGACCAGAACTACGATTAAAGGAAGATAATGAACCAAAAATCGTTTCTTTTTTGTTGATACCCAATGACTATGAAATATAAGAATATGTCGTTCAATTGAAGCCCAAGCAAAACCTACTAATTGTGTGGAATAACAGAAATAATCAACTAATGTCCAAAAATGAGCAAAGCTAAGTGGGAATATCCAAGTATCACCATTTTGGTACCAATAAAGCATCAATGGAACACTTACTACTTCATAGAGTAAGCCAATGAGAAGAAGAACAATAATAATATGATTGTTCAAAGCTTGACGAAGTGTTCGATCAAATAAAAGATGAAATAAAACAAAAAATGAACATAGAAGTGATAAAGCACTTGGAATAAGATAGAGCCAAAATCGAGTGTAAACAGAAATGCGTAATTCCAATGGATTACCGAGATCTTTCTCATTAGACATGCTGTATGAACTTGTCGTTTTGAAAAAAAATGGAAATATATTTTTAAAAACTAGATGAGCATTAATGAAGTATTATATATATAGAAAGAGATATAGAGAGAAAGAGAATAATATTTTTTTTTCATAATTTAATTATATTTCAAAGCTTTTTCTCTCTGAAGAGATTTCTTCATCTAGGAATTGACGAATAGAATATTGAGTGTTATTATATTCAAATTTTTGTGAAACACGATCTAAAAGAGAATGTTGAAGGGTAGAAGAGTAGAAATTTAAACCCATTTGTCCAACCTGACAAACATTCTATGTTGTTTCATAGGCTCGAAATACTTTTATTATCAAAAGAATTAAATGTCTATTTGAAAAATCATGATAATTAAAAAGATTTATATAGCTATAAAAAAAATACGTAATAGAACGAGATACAGAAAAACAATTTAATATTTGTTTAAAATTATATCTTTCCTCAGTGTTTCGACCGGGTAAAATTTGATAATAAAAGCTTTTTCGTAAAACGTTCTGCGAAATACTCAAGTGTTACCGTGTGATCAAGTGCACGTCAGCAATCAATACTACTGCTGTTTGATATTGTGAAGTTTTCTTTGAAGAAACTTGCTTTGCTTAGATATGAACGGAAACAGGAAATGAGATTAAGAAGAACACAACGATTATTATTTTCTACTTTACGACGAACTGATGTCAGACGGGTTCTAATGACACATTCGCCTCTATTAAATAATGTTTATGATACTTGGATTTATGTCCTCTGATTATCATATTTATAATCTAGCTTGATATAATAATGACACTGTTCATTTAACTGACGAAATAAAATGAATACTTCTAATTTAATTCCATTCTAAATATGGATCTTTTCTGCGACATTCATGACAGTCAGCAAAAGATTACAACAATGTCCTAGATAAGAGAAAACTCAATGTATGTCAATTAAAGGAATACATCCAATCTTTAATTATAGCGTTGACTTCAGTTATTTTACTTGATGCATCACTTCTTTGGTGATATATTAATACTTTTATGATCTACATCAGCTATGCGTAAATTCAAAGCATTAGTTATTCCTTTGAAATATTTCTATAATGAATCGACGAAATAAATTGTAACAGATTAAAAATAATGTGTAAAATTGATCTTACTTAATCAAGACTAAGTTTTTAAAATCACGGATATTGAGTCAAAATAATGATTTTAGTTGATTTTGATGATACTGCTAGTGTTCGTGTTTGTACTGCATCTAATCGATTTACTTAAGAGTGAGAGAGATAAGTCAAAATAAATCAAGACACATTTTAATTTTCTGTTTACCGTATTTATTTTTAAGAAAAGATAAACGTATTATGACAAGAAGAGTTGAATCAATGACTTTTCTATTTATTTGCGTTTACTACTGGTATCTTCGAAGGATGTTTAAAAGTCACTTCTTTTGTAGCATTACAATTAGTCTTGCTTTTCTGATTGGTATCTTTTGAGGGTGTAGGTGTGAAGAGCAAAAATAGCATCATCTTCATCTACACATACTGTCATCCACACGTATCTATATTTCGCATCGTACGCCCTGATTGCAGCTACAACAGTAAATAAAAGAGATTTCAGAAGATGATAGTCGTGTAGAAAAGATACACATAACAACCGTAATAATAATTGTGGCACTTGATCGAAAATTTTAAATGAATTATAAAAGATTAATAACATATAACTCAATGGATGCTTCGAATTGTATATGTATTCTATATCAATAGCCGGTACTCTATAAAACATTGTATTATTCAGTTTTTAAAAAGAGTGTTGATTCAAAAAGAAGCATTATGTAATATTTTAGTTTTTATTAAAGATAATTCTCTTTTCACACTCTTCTTCTTACTATGTTGGCCTGTTAAGTTTTGTACGCAGCAATTGAAAATGGATGGATGTGAGACAAATATAATACTCACATCTGCATCCGCATCCTCAAGATGCTTGTTTTTATTCGGATTCTAATTATGGGAAAATGTATGAATTTGACTTTAGATTCACTTATTATAAAAGATCAACAGATAAATATAGCATTAACAATTGGTATTTACATTTTTATTGGCATCTTTATTTTCTCGCTTAACTTACTAAGTAAATCATGAAGTTTTCTAACATATATCCGTCCAAACTGTCCAAAGTACGTTTTCTGTACTTATTTTGTCATTACATCTATTATCAATCAATATTGATTGTTGTTATTATTCATGAAAATTATTCATAATATATCGGATAGTAATGGAACATTATTCGTAGAAAAGTATTTATTATCTACTTTTACACATATTATCTATTGACTTTATCGTTTTAATCCCTACATTGATTACATTAAGAAATGTGCGATATGTATTGGTAATAAATATAATTATTATGTTGATTGTCAATGGAATACATCTACGTGAAACTATGTATTGTGAAATGATTATTGATCCATCATATACATATATTAATACAAGTCTTTATCTCATTAGCTATATATATATATCAGTTAGTTTCAATCTACAATAGTGTGAATGTGTTAATTCATTATTTTATACTATTTTTAATTATTAAAATAGCTCATAGTCGTGCACGAACCAAAACATACTACACATGAGATATTCATGGATTTATTCAGAAAACAATTTAAGAACATTATATGATATCAATTATTGTTATTCTGAATTAGCAACTTATTTTCTATCGTGCTTTACTTCAAATGTTATATTTCATTCTCTATGTACTAACATCAGTTAACTACGCTAAAAAGTTCTATCAGACAATTCTTGGATACAATTTTAAACAAAAGTAATTAACAAGATCTAGTTGTTGCTTGATATCAAGTACCAAAATAGAGATGACATATAACAAGAGAGAAAAAAGCCTGACTTTCATGTTTTCTTACACAATTAGTGGGGCTTCTGCTTGAACTAATATTGAAATAGATATTTAATAAGAAAAGAAAAAAACTTGAGATAACTATTTTTAATGGTTTCTACAAGATAATCAGACATTTTTTATGCCTTAAAGATTGTTTGTTGATTGAAGCAACCAGGCTCGTGAATAGAAATTTTTCATGATTTCTAAAAATGAATAACATTGTTAATTGAGAAAAAAAGTAATTTCCGAAAAAAGTAGAGAAAAGAAAAAGGATTATAGATTGTAGTGTTATTCTTATAAAGAAAGTAGTTAACGATTAAAAACTTATTTCATATTCTTATATAAATGAATTCTAGTAGTATGGAACAATTAGACAATAGTAAGGTCAATCTTCATCGTACCAAATTTTTTATATTACTTCTACTACAAATCCCATCAGTGATGCTCTATCTTCTTATTTTTACATTTTTTGGTATGCATCGTTCTCTTCTTAAAACTCCGAAAAATAAAGCTCTATTGGTCTTGCTGCTAATCAACTTCTTAGAAGCCTCATGCGACTTGCCAAACACTATTCATTTCTATCGCCTTGGTCGTGTTAGTCCAGCAACATCAGCTTATTGCACATGGTGGACATTCTTTGAGTATACTCTCAGTGTTTCAAGTGAGTTCTTAATGGCTATTATTTCCATTCAACGTCATATATTGGTATTCAACAATAACATATTACAAATTCGAATTAAACGTTACTTATGGCATCACTTACCGTTACTACTTGGTGTTGCTTATCCAACTCTTCTCTATTTGGGTCTTGTCGTTATCTATCCATGCGACGGAACTCAGTGGGATTACACATCGGTTTTATGCGGTTTAAGCAATTGTTATTTAGAAAATAGTAGTTTGTTGGCAACGTTGGATTGGGCACTGGACAATGGCATGCCGATAATAATCATTGTTGTGGCTAATGCAGCACTTGTAATCCGAGTCATCTGTTATAAGCGTCGTGCACAGCAAGCTACTCCATGGCAAAAGCAAAGACGTATGACGATTCAACTACTAACGATCTCTTCCATATATTTCATTGCATGGATTCCAAATACGATCATTGCCGTCATTCAAGAAATTATCGACTCGAGTTTCGTCGCTGAGATTCAAGCAAACTATTTTTTCGATCTTCTTTACCTTGTTTGTCTCTTGATGCCATGGGTGTGCATTATGATGCTTCCTGAATTGAAAAAATGGATGTGGAAACTATTCAGACCACATCAATCAACACAAAATACTGTCGTACCACTAAATATTACTGTTTTACCAATGAAGACACGATAATTTAAGCCTGAAATAAATATACATGGATAAAACAAAATAGTGCAGTCTGGGGTGTGGGCGTGGATGCGAATAAAATACTATTTAATAACAAGAAAACATTCCGGAAGAACACAGGAAACAAAGTTTTTTTTGTAATGTTATAAGATGAATTTATTAAAGAAACGACAAAAATATACAGAGTTAACAAAGAAAAATTTGATTGTCACTTGACAAATTCATTGTCATATTAAAATTTACTCATAGTTAAATTATTTATGAGAAAAAAAGGAAACGATTGTTTATTGTTTGTTTTGTTTGTTATGGTTGGTATAGCTCTGAGCTATTTAAATAACTACCACTAACGAGTCCACCTGTAGCTAACACTATTCCACTTGTTAATACAGACGCTGCGTGGGAACGTCGAGTATAACTCATACTATCAGTAATGGTCCACACTCCTGTTGATGGATCATACAATTCTGCACTATTTAAAGAAGGCCCATTAGCTCCACCAGTAATTAATACTTTTCCATTTGCTAATATGGATGCTGTATGATAATCCCGAGCATAATTCATACTACCAGTGATTGACCATACTCCTGTTGATGGGTCATACAATTCTGCGCTATTTAAAACAGGCCCATTAGCTCCACCAGTAACTAATACTTTTCCATTTGCTAATATGGATGCTGTATGATAACACCGAGCATAAGTCATATTACCAGTGATTGTCCACATTCCTGTTGATGGATTATACAATTCTGCACTATTTAAAGCAGAACCAGCAAGTCCACCAGTAACTAATACTTTTCCATTTGCTAGTATGGATGATGTGTGATAATCCCGAGCATAATTCATATTACCAGTGATTGTCCACATTTCTGTTGATGAATCATACAATTCCGTACTATCTAAAGAACTAGTACCATTAGATCCACCAGTAGCTAATACTGTTCGATTTGTTAACACAGATGTTGCATGGTAACACCGAGCATAATTCATATTACCAGTGATTGTCCACATTCCTGTTGATGGATCATATAACTCTGCACTATTCAAATAACTACTATCATACCCACCATTAACTAATACTTTTCCATTTGCTAGTATGGACGCTGTCTGATGATGCCGAGCAGAAGTCATGCTACCAGAGTCAGTCCATATTCCTGTTGATGAATCATACAACTCCGTACTCTTTAAAACAGAACCACCATATCCACCAATAACTAACACCTTTCCGTTTGTTAATACGAGTGCTGTGTGGAATTCTCGAGCATGATTCATATTGCTAGTGTTCGACCATTCTAACAGAAATTAGTTATTGCATTTGGTTTATAAGAAATCGTTTATCATCAAATTTTTACAAGTCCAAAACCGCGGGCGAAAAACTGCTGCATATTGTCAGTGTAAACTGTCTATGCTCTCTATAAGCCAAAAGCTTTTGCATGTCTCAAATCTTAGTATATAAAATGTTTTGCCTCAGTAGTACATCAAAGTAGTAGCAGTATGATCGATTAGAAACTTGATTTTATGTCGAACATCACTACGAAGCTATTATCTTTCGAAAGCCATCACTTTCGGTAAATAAAAACGATACACTACTTTGAATTGATGTTGTACTGGTTGAGGATACCGTTGTAACTGTTATTGACGTAACTAATGAAGTTGTGGATGCCGCCGTAGCCGTTATTGACGTAACTAATGAAGCTGTGGATGCCGCCGTAGCCGCTGCTGTCACAGCTAAATAAAAATATCTGTTTTTAGAGAAATTGAAATGAATATATTTGTGCAATACTAAATGACTTTATTTGTTTTCTTCAGTAATTAAATAAATCCGAAGAGAAATAAAATACTAACATCTTTTTCTTTGTCAGAGAATTTCTAAACTAGATATAAAAATTGATTGAAGACCTCTAATATTTTATTTATATGTTTTAATTTGAAACAGAATTGAAATTTTGTCTGTGTTACTGCAGAAGCACAAAAAATGTAAGATCGAACGTTTTAAGGCTTGCTTTGCTTTTCGTTTCTTCATAGAGGATACCTTATCTTTTAATTAACATTTCAATGTATTGAATACAATCTCTTCGCTTTAATAGAATTCTCCAGTTGCTATTGTGAAATATGTATGTGTATTATACATACAGCAAAAAAATGTATGACTCCTTTGAACATATACTCAAGATTGTTTTAAATTTTATTAAGGTGACATTTTACTTCATTATTTTTGTAATATTTATGATGAATCTTAGAATGAAAAAGGAAGAAGTTCTCAACATTCAGAAAAGGCGAATAGCTTCAGACATCTATCTTGTTTTTGTTTTTATCAAATATTAGATATGCAAGAAGTAAATAAAATATTTTGAGTTGTAGATTGCACTATCATATGAAAGCATCTTTTCAAAAGTCACCAGCAAATGAAATTTTGATCAAACCTTTAAAGTAAAGAGTTTTGATACTTACTCTCTGTTGTCAATGTTTGTTCTGAAGACGTTAGCCAGAGTGCAATAACGGTGGCCAATATCAAACCAGCGGTGAGTACACCTATCAACAGACCATAAAGGAATGGTGATAATGGTCTACAGTATTCTGATAGTTTGCTTGGTGATATCCTTCTTAAAAAATAGCAATGTGATGTATCTTGAAGCCTAACAGATTGCTAGTTTATTTTACCTTTTGTTTTCTTGATCATACCAGCTATGTTGATTCGTATTCTGAGTAGAAATATCATTCAAAACGGTTTTATTCTCGTTTTTGTTTATCGTCAAATCTTTAGAATAAGATGGATCATTTTGCGTTGTCGACCACTCACTCATCTATAAATATTGAGATTTCTTTCTAACTGAAGTGAATTCTTTTTGTTTGAGATGAATATATTGCTTAAAAAATAACAATGTTTGTATTTCTTACGTAAACATATTCATTTTCTTTTTAATCAAAAATAAGATGATGACATAGTTGTTCTACTTTCAATTTTCGATTTGTTTACTAGACAAGTTTTTCTTTTCTCTTCCAATAAAAATAAATATACCGAGTCAAGGAAATCTGTTCTACTGTTTTCAATATTTATCAACTAGAGCTGCCAACAAAGCACTTTATTTCTTGGCATCGTGTGTGAATGAAGAAAAGTATTTTGATCGTTGCTAGTCGAAGATGTACGCCATCTAGTTTTTATGTTTTGATTTAGTCGGTATTTTTCGTCCATTCACATCATTTGTTTTTTATTAATCATATCCTTGCGTCAGATTTATTCTAGTATATTTTTGTTTAAAAAATAAATAACGTTAATTACTTGAAATTTTGCATTATTTTCTAATACAAAAAAAAACAGCAATGAGTACTTCCATAGAAGATCGTTGCATTGGTTCTCTACTCTGTCATATGATTGGTGATCAATTAGGAGCTGGTGTAGAAGGTCGTTCTTCAGGAAGAATTAAGCATGATCATGGAGTGGTACGTGATGATATTGAAGCACCTCATATGGGTATTCCAGAATTGGGACCTCGAATTCATATGTACACAGATGACACAAATAGTATGCTTGCGTTGGCTTCTAGTCTTGTTCTCAACAGTGGTCTGAAACCAATTCATGCAGCAAGATCTTATGCAATATTTTGGTCGACTGGAATCAAACGTGGTTATCCAGATTCTGCTCAAGAAAGTATGCGGGTTAGTATCTATTCATGTTCTTTTATAAATTATTAAGACCACTTTTTCAATGACATATGTAGAAAATAAGATTTAATCTTAGAGTGAATCCTTTTTTTTCTGAAGTATTTTAAAAATGAAAATGATAGCAAATGTTTCTCGCTAATTTTTTTTGTAGTGCGTACTAGAAGGTAAAACAAATTATCAAGAATGTGGACGTATTGCTTTTCCTGATGGTTCATTTGCTAACGGTGGAGCAATGCGAATTGTACCAGTTGCTCTTGCTTTTCGACATGCATCTGATGACCAACTTTATGAAGCAGTTCGAATGGCCATTATCTCTTCGCATGTTCATCCCGAAGGTATTGATGGAGCTTTTGTTTTAGCTAAGGCGATCATCTTCGCTCTTCACTGTCAATCAGTCAATGACTTCAATCCTCTTGAATTTCTCACTGTTCTTCAATCAACAGCACGAACAGAGGGCATGCAAAAACAGATTCAAAAATTAATTTCATTCTACAATGAACAAAATGGTTTAGGTAATGCAAGTTCGAAAAAACACAGGTAAATTTTCTTATCATCTAGGATGATTACTTTAAGTCATTTTTATTAAAAATCTTTACCAACATACTCATTCAATTTAATGCAAAAAAAGGTTTCAAACGTTGAGATATATAAGAGACAAAAATGAAAAGATATAGTTTCATGATTACGCTGTTTTTAAATCATATGAAAGATTATAAAAATAATGAAGAGATCACAGACTTTCTGATTACTTGCACAAATATCACTGTTATTAGTCATGCATCATATTTGATATTCTCATAGCTAATCTATTCATTATTCTTTATATTTCTCAGGACAGATGTCGATGTGGTGAGAGCACTCGGCAATACATTCCAGATCAAAGCGATTGAAGCAGTACCATGTGCTTTATGGATAATTTGTGTAAGTTATCGTGAACCTGAAGAATGTCTTATTCGTGGTGTAAATATGGGTGGTGATACAGACACAGTGGCGGCCATGATCGGAGACATTATTGGTGCATTACATGGTCGAGAATGGATTCCTACTCGTTGGTACGATCATATAGAACCTAACTCTGAAGAAAACATGGGTCGAGGACGAGATTATGCAATTGATTTAGCAAAAAAACTAGCAACTATGGATTTAAATAGTGTATTGGATGACAACGAATAATTCGATAAATAAAATTAGTACTTTTTTTTTGTTCCGTTATTAAGAGAAATACGTATGTTGTTATTACTTCGTACATGTGTGTATTATTCATATTTTATTATATTTATAAAGCAATAAACATGAAGTTGAATAGCGTCTTTGATGACTCATCAACAAAAAAGTATGCGACGTATTTTGTAAGAAATTTTTCTTCTTCTTCGTTGTAATGTAATATGTTATTACTCAATATGAATTTATTTCAATTGAATATGTTGTTACATACAACCAACATATGGAGGTCCGAAAGTGATGGTTTATCTAAAAGTGTTTTACGGTTATATTCTAACCATACCATCACTAACTCACGACTTCTTTTTTTTGCATGAAAAGAAAAGACGAAATCTTACATACAATTAAAAAAATATCTTCGAGTTTTGATTTTTGCCCGTTTTAGATGGAAAAAAAGAATGTAGTTCACAATTAATTCTCGAAGTTTTTAACAAAACATTCAAGGAAAAGTGGAATTTTATTAATTTAAAACATCAATCATGCATATTACCACTATAAATAAAAGATAAAAGCAGAATCTGTTTTTATTTGTATTAAATAATCTTCAAGTAATTTTTTGAATTCAATTAAACAACTTATCATTTCTATTTCATCTCGAAAGCGTAATGAAAATAAACTTCGAGTATTAATATTATCTTTTGACAATAAATATCCTTTAAGATCTTTAATAGTTTCATTTAATAATATTTTAATATAGGTAAACGAAATATTTTATGATAATTCAGTATTGTAAAGAATCAGTTTCTCAAGTTGATCCAATCGTAGGGTCATGAAAGTTGATGAAAAAATAAACTTACTAATAAATGAATTTAATACGCATTAGAAAGAATAACTTGAGTATAATAACGAAAAAAATTTGATTTTGATAGGAAATAATAGATTAGTAAGAAGATTATTTAGACTAGAGAAAGTGTCGTATATCCGATAATAATCAAGAAATTTAAAAATTTCATAAATAAGTTTATTTGTAAGATTTTCGAAACATGTAATAGAATTCTTTATTATACTAAGAAAAGAATCAAGACACAAATATAATTAAAAGTATTCTTTCACTCCATATCAAATTCTTTTTCAAAGGAAATTATTTTGATTTATGCTAATGAAGAAACACGTGGACATACAGCTTGTTTCTTTTTTTATTTAAAATATTATATTTTTATCGAACGCAACAGAAAAGAAAAATATGCCGTCCTGTGCGACATCTTTAGAGTAGACGCAAAGGTGGTTCTCGAATGCTGTCAGTGTATTTCACATCCTCATATGTCGATATGCAAAAAAATCTGATATGTGTAATACTTTAAAATTATATTTTGTTTAGATCAAGTATATAATAAAGTTTTAAGTCGCTAATTATTAAAGATAACGTGAATCATCAAAATAATCTTTCTCTTTATTTTTGATACATAACGACTATCTACTGAAATTACTTTGGTTACTGACATGTTACTATTTTGATTCTACGAGTTTTGATGACAACACGGAATTGCGATAAGATTACTTTTTATAGGGTGGGCGTCTCGCTTCTCTTAACTGACACCTATCCGAACGAAGATATTTGAGGTCTATAATGAACTGTGCTGATAAGCATTTTTTTTAAATATGATCATCTATATTTGTATAGCATTACACTCTTATCTAATAGTCACATTTCTGATGAAATCAACAATTTCAGTTTATAAGTGTAGATACAAGGATTAATTTTATATATATTTTTTACACAGACACTCACAAACATCATAAATCGTTCTATTGACATATTAGATTTCTTCAAAATATATACTCAGTTTCTATACAACACAACTCAATATGCCTTCATTTCAGTTAACTATATCTTACAGCTGTATACTTCTTTATATATAAATTCAACAGAACAAAAAAAAAGAAACGAATACATCTTATCAATTGTCTTTGTCAAATAAAAGATAAGCATTTTTTTTCTTATTCTTTTTTTTTGCATCTTCTTAACAACAAAATATGAATCAAGAAAAAGATGCAGATGATTTTAGAATAATTTATAATGAATTAATCGAAGAACGAGATAAATTACAAAATGAGATTAATTTTTTACGACGAGATCTTGATAATAGCACATTAAAACAAAATGGATTCGATAGACAAATTCATGAAAAAAACGAACAAATTCAAAGTTTACATGAAAAATTAACTCAAGCAAAACAGGAAAATATTAAAGAAGCAAAAAAACGAGTTTGTTGATTTTCTATGATTTATATTTATTTATTTTTTGTTTTCTCTTCAAGGAACAAATTCAACTTGAACTTAAAACCAATCAAGAAAATTTCGAATATAAAAATACAGAATTAAAAGCTCAAATCGTTCTATGTAAAACTCAACAACAAGAAATACAAAAATCGCACGAACAAGTAAGAAAATTAAAAGAAGATAATGTTCGTTTAACAAAAGATAATCAAATTCTTCAAATACATTTTGATGAAATTCAATCACAATTAAAAGAAGTTATTACAACACATCAGAAAAATATTGATGATCGTGAATATTATCGAAATGAATCAAAAAAAAAAGATGATGAACTTATTCAATTACGTAAAGAATATGAAAAAGAACAAAAGAAAACAAATGATCTTGAAAAAAATTTACGTTTAGTTAAAAATCAAATAAATGAAAATGATCAAGAACATAAACATTTACATTCAACAATATTATTATTACAACAAGATATAGATCAATTTAAAAAACGTCAAAATCAATATCAAAAACAAATTGATACATTAACACGTGAACGTGAACAATTGAATAAAACACATCAAATAATAATTGCGAATAATCAAAAACAAATCGAACAAATGCAAAATGTTGATCAATCAAGAAGAAGTTTAGAACAAGATATTATACATTATCAAGAAGAAGCAAATAAACAAAGAAATATTATTCTTAAATTAGAAAAAGAACGAGATCGGTAAATAAGATTGCTGTTTTGTTGAAGAAAAAAAAGTAGAATATCCTTTCTTCTAATCAGTTAGATTACATTTCAAATTACTTGTTGCAACCTCTCGAGTGGTGCATCAAAAAATAATGATTATACAAAAATGTATCATCGCCGTATGATTTACTTATCAAATAGGGATTGACTAACGGAAGTCCCAGAATAAATGAGCATCTCAGCATGTTTTTTATCTATTACTAGAGTACGGCGGTTCCGGTCAGTAGAAATGAGAATAGAGCGGTTTCGGTTCGATTCCTAGCATATAATGTAGAACAGAAAACGGACTCATTAAAGTGTCAGTTTGATGGTAGAGTACTGCGGTTCCAAAAATTACCCGGAACCGCGGCTCGGGTTTGGTCTCATTTTTTTGAAACCGGCGTACCCTGTCTCTTAATCACCACCATAGAAAAAAAACTCCTTATACGAAGATTTCTTGTCGAAGTCTTCAAAGATTTTTATTATCTCAAATAGTTTTTATTATTTGGCGACAATCTTTTTATCAAAGAAATACAGGTTTCGAACAAGAAGTTTTTAGTAAGACTGACATATCTCAAAACTGCTTTACGATGGAGAAATATGATTCAGTAGGTTTTATCTAGGAAAGTTTCCTCTTATATATCATATTCATATAGAAAAATGATATCCCTTGTTTTCAAGGATAAATACCCCTTACAGTGTTCTATCAAGATTTATTTGTAGCATTCGAATGTGTCTGAAAAGTCGGCTAAATGGTTTGTAAAGCCAACTATCTTATATATCTTCACAAATATACCAATCGACTTTCTATTCTTGCAGATCAGAAAAAAACTACATTTCAAGGTTATCTAGTATCTCGAGTATAGTATTGTTATTTATCAATGAAGCAGAGGTGTAGAATCTTCCTCATGCGCTCCCGCGTGGAGAGAAAATTTTTCTTTCTTGGAAAGATTCTGCAATGAAGTTCAAAAAGCTTTGACAAAGAATCTTTTTTTTCTATGATGAGTTATAGACGTTCAGTTATCGTGATCTTTTGTATTAGTATCCTCAAACAGCATGTCAATCATCTCAAAAATGATAGTTAGATTTATCGAGAAGATCAAAAACTAAATCTATTTTTTCTTTTTATTGAAATAGATATATAAATGAAGCTACTCAATCTGCCAGTCAAATTCTTGAATTAATGGGAGATGTTAAAAAGAGAGAACTTGAAATATTTAATCAAAATAAAACAATTTCAGAATTAGAAGCACATGCAAAACAACAACAAAGTTTATATGAAACAGCTCGAACTGATCGTAATTTTTATTCAAAAAATTTAAATGAATCTAAAGATGAAATTGATGAAATACAACGTAAATCAAAAATAATCAGCCATCAAATTGATCAATTCAAACAAGAAGTACAAATAAAAGAACAAAATTTCGTTAATTTACAAATCGAATATAATAAAATAAAAAAAGATAAAGAAGATTTAATATTAAATATTGAACAATTAAAACAAGAAATTATTCGAAAAGAACAAATGCATACAAATCAACAAATACAATATAAAACTTTAGATAAAGAATTATCAAAAACAAATAATAAAACAAATAGACAAACAAAACAATTACAACAAGTAAATTATTTCAAAAATTCTCTCAAAACTATTCATTTTTCTTCTTAGATAATCAGTGAACGTAATATTGTCGGTTCACAACTTATTCGTCGAAATGATGAACTTGCACTTCTATATGAAAAAGTTAAAATTCAAAATTCAGTATTATATAAAGGCGAAATTCAATATAAAGCTCGTCTTGAAGATATACGTATATTAAAATTAGAATTAAAAAAATTACATCATGAAAAATATCTATTACAAAATCAAATACCAAATATAAATGAACTTAAACAGGAATTATTTCATAGTCAACGTGATTTAACACGCGAACGTATACGTTGTCGAGCATTAGAAGATGAATTAGAAAATCCAATGAATATACATCGATGGAGAAAATTAGAAATAACTGATCCATCAACATTTGAATTAATACAAAAAATTCAATTCCTACAAAAATCTTTAATACAAAAAACAGAAGAAGTTCAACAAAAAGAATTATTAATACAAGAAAAAGAAAAATTATATGATGAACTTAAACGTATTTTAGGTAATCATTCTTATCTGCTCATTTCAAAAACAAAATTCGAAAGAGAAAATGAAGATGCATCGAAACTACAATACGGAAGGATTTTTCTAAGGCTGTTTTTTGAAAAATAGTTTGTTTCATTGATTTTTCGGAAGTATTCTATAACCGGTGGACAAAGAGCTACAAAATTATGCAAATATTTTATTCGTGACTACTGCTAATGAGATATTTTGATAGAAAATCGAGTTTTTTTCTAACGTACAAGAAATCTTTTCAATATTGAAAATCGTAGCTCTCTGTGTCAGTCCATTTCAATGTTATTCAAAAAAATGTTCAGTGGGAGCTGCAGGTCGACCTAGAAATTTCTAATTAAAACATGTCTTGATTTGTTTTTTCTCTGTATAGCTCGTCAACCTGGTCCAGAATTAGTCAAACAATTATCGATTTTTCAAGAAACACTTAAAGTTAAAACAACACATATAAAATGTTTAATTAGTGAAATGAATATGTATAAAACTGAAATAGATAATTATAAATATGCAACTGATAAGCTTAATCAAGAATTAAATGAAGTACGACAGAAATATTTTCAACAAAAGAAAAAAGAATCACAAACTAAAGAAAAAGAACGTCTTGCTCAAACAGAACAAGCAGCATTACCTGATCTTGTACAACAAAATCGATCAAAGTAAAATTTTGAATAGATTTAATTTGATTTTTAGTTTCTCTTTTAGTGGTCAAGTTCGATTTGCTGGTGGAGGTTTCAAACTTCAATCTACGCCAAAATCTTCTATTGTTAATATTTAAATGTAATACACCAGAGTGCTTATATGATATTTTAAAAACTAATAAGCAAGAACATTAATAAGAATACTGTTGTTGTCTCTTTTGCTATCTTGAAATTTATGTAACATATAACATTTTTTTGCCATTTTTCAGAATCTAAATTGATAATCCAATCCTTTGCTCTATTCTATGTTAACACATACGATATTGATTGAAATTTGATATTCAATTCAGATTATGATACAGCCGAGTTGGATCAGACTACAATGTGTTTAAATAAAAGAAGCATCTTTAAACGTTTACTAAGTTATAAAATTCTATTCATATTAACTGTTATAAGAAAAAAAATTTCATATGGAAAGAAACTGTTTATCCCAAAAGACTGGATAATACGATTGATATTCTAAAAAGATCAAAATAAAAATTATTCTCTGTAATTTGAATTGAAAACTAATCATTTTCTCCTATGTACTATCTGTGTTAAAAAAATATTCTAATAAATATAGTGATGAGGTTGTATTTTTGATAACACTAGTTCATTGTGCATTTTTGTATAACAAGAGGAGATTTCTTTCTATTATGAATTAGTTTTTATTACAAGTTGACGCCAGTTTTAAATTAAAAAATCGTTCCATAAAATTTTCTTTTAAAAATAATGTATCTAAAGTTTCAGCAAAAAAAGCTTGAGAATTGATCCATTATTTCTATGATATTCTATTTGTGTATATAAGGAATAAAGATAGATGACGGCGCCAACAGCTCTGGAATCCTACAGCAACACTTGAATATCAACCAAGGTATCCGACAGAGTGGCATTGGTCAAATGTTGAGTTTTTACTGTATACGTGAATAGATTGCAAGGACTACCATCACTGTAGCACACGGATGTGTATAAAACCTACAAATAAAAAAAAGAGTATTTTATAAAGTCAACATTAACTTTTGGAATATGTTAGGATTGAAAAGCACAATGGACAATTTTTAGAATGAAAAATTCATTTTTACATATGCGACGTCTTCTCAACGAAGAGCCCATTTTTTCAATTTATTTTAATTGTAATGTATATTTTCTCAGAAATCACGATTGTGTCTCTTCATATAACTGAATGAAAGTTTGTTATATTTTTCAAAGATGATGGATCTTCGAGGATTTTCTACTAAAATTTAAGCGACTAGTTTTCACTATGAAGAATCTAATTGTGTAATTTAAATATTTGAAAAATGACTTTAATAAACTTTTCTAGAGACTAGACTGCTGAAAAAACTAGATTTTAGTCGAGTATCATATGTCACAAAAAATAACATGTCAGAAAATCTAGAAAAGCTCAGTTTTGTTTCTATATGATCAGTTTAAAACTTCCTTCGCATAGCAAGAGTTGCAAGTTGGGTTGTATGTTGAAAAGACGAGTATTACCTCTTTATCAGTATCGAATGTAGCAGCGGTAACGATGGGTTCTGAAGACGAGGAATTGGTGAATGAACCAAGCAATGATGCAGTACAGTGGGTGCCAGTAGCGCTCATTTGTAACATGTAAAACGACGACGTTGTACTAGCAATAGCAATCAGAGATTTGTGTTCATTATCGTAATATAAGTGATGAAGACTGATATTAGTTGAAGGACAAGTAATCTAAAGAAAATTATAAAATGACAGTTACAATAAAAAGATGATTGAGTCATTTATAAAGCCGTTCACTTGAATAAATATTTGTTGTTTGTTTAGTAAAAATCCGAAATTCTTTTCTTTCTAACTTACTATCGTAAATGAACGAGAGTAAAGTATATTAGTTGAGTATCATGACATATCATTCAAGAGCGTATATACAAACTCATAATATTGTAATACAATAAAGGCTTAAAGTGTCGATTATTTTAAAGCCACTCTCTAACTAAATTTAATTGTAGATCAGTCTGCCTATGACTTCATCAACATACGAAACTAGAGAGGAAAACTCAGCAGATGTAATCTTACATTTAGAAACAAAACTCATCAATTGAATAGATGAATGCTAACCTTACAGCTAGAAACTCATGTCTAACAATACCAGACTACATGCGTTGGCCTAAAGAGCACAATACTGAAGAATAAAGAACTGATCGTTTTGGAAAAGATCGATAAAAATCTCAGATATTTACAGAAGAGATTTTAAAACTTAGAATAATGAACTAATACGATTATCTATAGAAATAAAGACAAGAAAACGTGAAAAATCGTACAAAAAACAGTTGTTAGTAGAAAAACGGTTTTATACACGATTTAGACTATCAGAAAGCCCAAATCATCACCACAAATAAGAATAGCAAAGTTCAACGACGAAGTGTTATGTTAAACGTAGAATCAACCACACAAAGGCAAATATTCATAACTAAGAGTTTTATCTCCTTCGCCAAAAAGAAAAAGATTTTTGAAATGGTATTAATAATATTGCAATACAAGAATCTCATTTGTTATAAAACATTAAAATTTTTAAAAACATATTTCAGATCTGCTTGAATGTCTGGTCTAAATGTCATCAGCCATCTAAGCAAATAAAGATCGTACTCCTTTTTAAAACGAAGATCTTAAATAGCATAGCAAATTAACAAAAACAATACCATCCTACAGACTCTGCTTTTTCATGCGAAAGAAGTAGATTAATTTCAAGTACAAACTTACTTGGAAAGATTTGAGTGTACTAAATGAATCAACGTCAAAATATCCGATATATTGAACATAGTTGTTGTAATATGAAAAATAATAATGATTGTTGGACTGATCATAAGCAGCAAATTCGAAGTATTTGTATCCTGTACTTGTAAGATTTGCAACAACCTATCGAAAAAAAATTCTATTTCCAATTCTGAATTACGTGCATCTTATAGTTTTGAGTAAACTTCATGATATAAGACATAGCAATGCTAACTTACTCGAGTTGGTAGATTGCCCATAGATCCGAAAGACAGCACGTAACTCACGTTATTTTGTTCGAAACCAGCCAATGCGAATATTCTGTCTTTTTTAGCATCCCATTGAAGGTTAACAAGAAAGGAAGCAGACGGGATAGATATAGGTGGAAGCACACTGTTATGTTTAATATCAACTGCAAATATGAATGAAGACTGGAAATCTATAGCATAATAGAGCACCTATAATTATTCGTTAGAACAATGATAATGATAAAAGAAATGAGAAGTTCAATAAAAATTCATACTTGATTTTTTTGATCCATTGTGGAGCATGCATCGTAAGCAGCAGCACCTCCAAGATAACGGAATGTTGTTAGTTGATTTTTGAATCGTCCTGACGAGGGATCTACTGATCCTGCATTGATAGTGATACCCTCTTCACTGTCTAACATGGCCACACCCCATAAACTGCTAGTGCATTGTATATGTAGGGTAAAATGCACAATAGTCAGTGCAAGAGTACAGAAAACAAGAATGCAATTCATTTGCAAATTAAACCGAATTCTAAAATCGGGTAAAAATAATTTTTTCAGTTTGTAAATGTAAGCTATAAGACTGTTTCTCTCGATTAAGTTAATATCTCTCGTTTATTTCATTAATTCGGATCTAACCGCATGAACAATTTCATACTGAGTTTTTTAAATGATAGTTATCAAAAGAAGTTCTAACTCCTAATATCTGAAATATATTTATAAACTAACTCAAAATTGTTAAAGAAAACGGAAAAATATAAAGTTTTAGTGACGTTTGTATTAAAAATCCTTACTGTTATATCAGTATAATAAACTAACGCTTTAACTCTTCTCCTTCTCCTTCTAGAAATATATGATTTCAAATAAAAAGATTATTTAGAGATAAAATACGCTTTACAAATTTTAACTAGAAAAAGAATAACTTGTGTGAAAAAGTACCATCTGCTTTTCATTTGCACTTTTATAATAGAAATACAAGAGTCGTACCAATACATCGAATAACGACAAATGGTAACTGTAATGTTGGTTCGCTTATTTTATGGAAATATTCCAGTCGATTCTTATAACGCTCTAGTGCAAGATTCATCCCTATCTAACGTTTTGTAATATGTGAATGGGTATGGGCACTTCATTTTGTTTATCTACACTCACCTTACCCTACCAATACTGATTGATATTTACATCTTGAGTGTCGATGTAGACGAGATATAGAACAAACAACAACATCCATCCCGGTTTTGAAAAATATTTTTACCATTGATTTTTTTATAAAGTTTAACCAACGCTAATGAAGATCGAGGAACTCAAATCTATGGAGTCGGTTTTTTGAAATTGCTTGAATAAATAGTATGCTACTAGTCAAGAACTACTGTTTCTATGAAAATGAGTTAAGAGAGTTTCAAGATGTGCGTTATTATGTGCATTCTAATATTTAGAACCAGTTGGACGCTAGAGGTTGATTGGATACAAGGGATCAAATTGCACCGTTAGTTAATATCAAAGTGATCTAATATGTGAAAACTAATTCATATCAAATGATTTTTTTTTTCATATACATAATAATAAATGTAAATGTACGTCAATCAATACCTATTTAACATCTTTTCGACGATGTTTACATCAGCAATAAATTTATCATTCTATATATTACAAACGTCGTAGAAAACGTGGTAATTATTTTATCAGAAACAGGGATCCTGATGATTCTATTGTATGCCTGTTTGGTGAAAATATTACATTTTTTCAGTATAAAAGGTCTGCTTATACTCTAATACAGCAGTATCCGATCCATTGTTTATTTACTGATCTATTACCTCGATCAACATATCATCGTCTGTTATTTAAATTCATCAATCATATATTATGTGTTCCTTCCAAAGAATCTTCATCGTTTTTATAGATCGAATATTAGATCATTGTATTATTTTTGACTGTGTACGTTACTATATTATTACACTTGTATCATCTTATGGTCAACACGATTGGAATAAAATTAAAATCTTAATTTACTTTAGGTCTTATCTTTGGTTCAAGATTCCTGTTACAATAATATTATACACGGAATGAAAGTCTCTTCTCAATAAATATCTTTTTTAATATACA